AGTTATTTTATTATTTCTCTGAAAAATGTTTGAGTTCTGAACAACCAATTTGTAAACAGATTAACAACGCTCCACATGTGAGCTTGATTGAAAACCCAAGAAGCTCACAGTCTGATTTGGAATATAGAATGAAATTACAGTCAGTCCTTTGTTAATTGTGGTGCTTTATAGGAATACATAGGAGAATCTAGAACCAGATGTAGGGTGGAGATGACCGGGAGGGTTCTGAAGGGCAGAAAGGGGAACCTGAACTGAATCTGAAAGAACTTGAAATTGAGCGGGTGAGGGACCTCTGGAGAGGCAGAGACACTTTTTTGAAACAAAGCAAGAAGAAGCGTGAGAGATAGTGGCATATTTGGGGAACTTTAATGAGTTTGGACCTATCGTTTGCAGAGGGCAAGTGGTAAAATTTGGAATGAAGGTGAGTAGGCTGGATAAGGTCTTTAAGAACCTCACATTTCCTAGTAAGGAGTTTGGGTTTTATCTTTAAGGTAGTGAGAGGTCACTGAAGGAGTTTACCTTGGAAAATAACATAACCAAACTTGTATTTTAGAAATGCAAATTGATTTTGCATTAACAGAAGAAATTGATTAGCACTAGCAGCTTTTGAAATAAGGAATAAGCTAGTGAGAAATAAGAGTAAGGTAGCAGAAAATTGGAGGAGGGAAGCATATTAGAGTATTCCTGAAAGAACCATTTTTACAAATCAAAAGAAACTTGGTTAGCAGTGATAAATGTTAAGTTTGGTTGAAGCTTGAGAATAAATGCTTGGCTTTATCAATCAGGAGGTTTTGTCTTGTTCTTTCTTTTCCTCTCTTTTGTAGCGGTTTTAGGATAGGAAGAGGGAAGAGAAAAGATGAAGAATGTTTTCTCAGTCTTTGGCTAGTAACTATTTAGTTTATATCTGTTATAGCTCTTTAATCTTAACATTACCCCTGTGGAGTTATAAAATCTGTTGTTACAAATAATAAATCACTCAGAAATGTTAGGAGTCTTGTCCATTTTCTCTCGGGCTTCACTTATAGCTCAGTTGGTAAAGAATCTGCCCACAGTGCAAGAGACCTGGGTTCGACTCCTGGGTTGGGAAGATCCCCTGGAGAAGGAAATGGCAACCCACTCCAGTATTCCTGCATAGAGAATCCCATGGACAGAAGAGCCTGGCAGGCTACTGTCCATGGGGTCTCAAGAGCTGGACACAACTTAGCAACTCAACCACCACCACCCATTTTCTCTCAACTGCTAAGTGGTAGAGATGGAATTTGGCTTATACTTTTTCTGTGTTTTATACATGTTATGAGGAAATGCAATTTCAAATTGCCTCATTAATTTCAAGTTGAAAAATATTAACAAGTGCAGTTGACTTTTTTGACCCAAGGAGAGAAAATGGCTTAAGTCTTGTTTAGAAGGCTGTAGTGTACTGTGGTTTGTTTTCCCCCAGCGTCACAGATTCTGAGCTGTTTACTTGACCTTACTTCTGATTCAGCTCCTGCTCTTTTCCATCTTCTCGTCTTCTCTCAGCGTGTGACATAGAGCCAGTAAAGGAACGAGGAAAAATGTTCCCTAAGTGTTACATCCATTTGATCTCAGAATATTTCTTATCAGTAGCTGTAGTGTGAAGTGACTGAGGCAGACTGGACCTAACGTTTAAGAGTGGCAACAAGTGCCAGAGCTTCTCATTCAGCTAAAAGTAGTTTGGATGCAGAAAGCAGTATTTTCCTTGGTATCATGGTTGCAAATACAGCATTAGTAGCGCAGCTGCCTCTATGCGCCGTGGGATGATGGGGCAGCGTGCTGCGATCACTCAGCCAGCACAGGGATGATCATAGTAGAGCTTGGAAAGCGCAGGGATTGGTCCCAGCCCCACTGCTCCGTAGTGGCCATGAGCTTGCTTTCTATGTCTGTGAGTCTGTTTGTATTTCGTATGTAAATTCATGTGTATTATTTTTTAGATTCTCTCTATAAGTGATATCATACAGTATTTGTCTTTGTCTGTCTGACTTCACCAACTACAGTTTTCTCTAGGTCCATCCATGTTGTGGGAATGGTGATATTTTATTCTGTTTTTAATGGCTGCACAGTACTCTGTTACATATATTTATATATCACACCTCCTTAAGCCAGTTGTCTATTGATGGGCACTTGGGTTGTTTGTATGTCTTGGCTATTGTAAATAGTACTTCTGTGAACATTGGGGTGCAGGTGTCTTTTCAAATGAGAGTTTTTGTTTTTCTCTGGGTGTATACCCCCAGCAGTAGGATCGCTGGATCATGTGATAGCTTTGTTAGTACTTTTTAAAGGAAACCCCTTACTGGTTTCCATAGTGGTTGTACCAGTTTACTTTCCCATCAACAGCGAATGAAGGTTCTCTTCTCCACACCCTTCGCAGCATTTCTTATTTGTAGAGTTTTTGATGATGGCCAGTCTGATCAGTGTGAGGTGACACCTCGTTGTAGTTTTGATTGGCATTTCTCTAATTAGTAATGTTGAGCATCTTTTCATGTGCTTATTGGCCATTTGTTTATCTTTTTTTTGTAATAAATGTCTGTTTGATCCTTTGCTCATTTTAATTTGGTTATTTGTCTTTTTATTGTTGAGTCATAAAGAGTTCTGTAAATATTTTGGATATTAGCCAAAGTCGCTCAGTGTCTGATTCTGTGACACTATGGACTGTAGCCTGCCTTGTTCCTCTGTCCGTGGAATCCTCCAGGCCAGGATGCTGAAGTGGATAGCAGTTTCCTTCTCCAGGGGATCTTCCCAACCCAGGGATCAAACCCAGGTCTCCTGTGTTGCACGGTGAATTCTTTACCATCTGAGCCACCGGGGAAGCCCAAGAATACTGGAGTGGGCAGCCTATCCCCTTTCCACGGGATCTTCCTGACCCAGGAATTGAACTGGGGTCTCCTGCATTGCAGGAGGATTCTTTACCAACTGAGCCACTAGGGAAGCCCAAGTTTGGATATTAGACCTTTATTAATTAGATATATGATTTGATATTCTCTCATTCTGGGGTTATCTCTTAACTTTCTTGATAATATATTTGGAACACAAGTTTTTAACTTGATGAAGTCCATTATATCTATTTTCTTTCTTTTGTTGTTTGTGCCGTTGATGTCATATCTAAAAATCTGTTGCTTAATCCAAGGTCGTGAAGATTTACTCCCATATTTTAAGAGTTTTAGCAGTTATGTCTATGATAATTAATTTGAGTATAAGGTGTAAGAAAGGGATCTAACTTCAGTCTTCATTTTTTCATATCCTCCTCCTCTCAGCCCTTGGCACCCACCAGTCTACTTTCTACTTCTATAGATTTACCTATTCTGGGTATTTCATATAAATCATACATATGACCTTTTGTGTCTGGCTTCTTTCACTTAACATGTTTTCAAGGGTCATTCATATTGTAGCCTGTATCAGTACTTAATTCCTTCCTATTGCTGAATAACATCCCATTGTTCAGATATACTACATATAGTCCATTTTGTTTATCCATTCATCTCCTGGTGAATATTTGGGTTTTGGTATATTGTTTTTTAGTCCTATTACTTCAAGACTTTTGACCTTATATATCAGCATGCTTCTTTAGATATAAATTGACAGATACAAGGAACAAAAAGGAAGCACCCATACCTCTCACTCTTAATTAAAAGTAATAACAAAAATATGCAACAGTTTTCTATTTACCACCAAGAAAGTACTTTGTATTAGTGTCTTTCGCCTGTTATTTATTTTATAGCCTTCATGTTTTGTAAGTTGCTTAATATCCACTGCCTCATTTAAGCATCACAAGAACATTAAAAAGCACATATAAGGCATTTAAAAAATTGTTCTTGTTTTTCAGGAGAGAGTATTATTGATGATTGTCACTTACCCAAAGTTGTGTAGCACTTAAGTGGCAGAGTCTAATGTAACTATAATCTTTTGCCTCTAAATCATGTTCTTTACTAATAACAAAATGTTCCTACACAAAGAATTTTAGCTATTATGCCCTGAGTCAGTACACTGAATTCTTGTAGTTAACCTAAATTATTCAATGAAAGATACTGTGCATACTTATTCTTTTTATATCACAATTGAAAATTAACCTAAAATATAGTTTTAACCCCAGTTACAATATTGGTATTAAGATCTAGGAATCACCTCTGTAACTCAGAATTTTGTCTTCTGGTGAAAAAGCCAGTGCAAGAGAGGGGCCATGTGCGTTTTCAGTTTCATTCAGTGGTGTGTACTTTAGATCTTCCTGTGTCAACTATAGGCTTTCAGTGAAGTGTTTGTTGAGTGAATAAATGAGAGGCTTTATATTGTACCCTACTATCTGTGTGACATTACTAAATTTTATCATAAATTGCCACTGAACATTCCAATTAATCTTACAAGTTTTGAAATGAACACAGTAATAAAAGTTTTTATAGTCTAACACATATTTAATAGAGTACCACTTATTGTTGTTCTTATTAAAATAGCAGATATCATTTAATCTTAATTGAACAAATGAATAAGCCAAGACATACAAAAGCTTAGTAACATGCTAGGTGGCAACCTAAGCCAGAGATTCCTCTTATGCATGTTTCATACAGCTATGCTGAGTTATAGAAGTCATTAAAATTTAATTTTCTTAAAATAGCCTGGTATTGATAAGAGGTATTTAATAGCTTTTGATTTGGTAGAGCCTGTCTTTGAGGTGTGATTATATTAACATTTCTGTCATTCTAAATTGATATTTGTGTTTTACTACTTCTAAATTATATCCTTAAGATGCCTTCATGTGTGTCTGATTAAATTTTATTCTACTTATCAGTTCCGTATTCTTCCCACTTTCATCCCCTGTTCTTATCAGAAATTTATATATGGCTTTTTAAATGTCATTAAACATCAGCTATCTCATGTTTTTAGGATCAGGAATTTTCCTAGATCAGTAAAATATCTTTTTTCAAAATTGCCAAAGGCTGCTTTAAGATACATGGTCATTTTAAACTTAGCAGATATTTTGATTCTTCTTTTAGGTGTTGACAGCTCTTCTACGACAAGCAGTGCTTCTCCAATGCCCAACAGTTATGATGCTCTAGAAGGAGGCAGCTATCCAGGTAATTTGTTTTGTGCATAGCTGAAGTTTATTTGAAAAGTTACTGACCATCAATTACTTTCAAACATGAACACTTACTGTACATAATTAGCAGGCTATATTTTTAACAGAGAAAGGAAACATTTTCCTGTTATTTTCAGCCTTAATTTCATGGTGTAATTGTCATGTAACAGCTATGGATGCTGTCTCTGGGAGGCCTAAGGAAATTTAGTATTTGATTTTTGTTACCATGCTCTTTATCCTTTTCCTCTTTCTAGAAGACTTAATACTGAATAATTTTTCTCTTCTTTCCCTTCTTTTTTATGCTTATAACTCCTTAAATTTATATTTCTGTTCTCATGCTTAGGTCCTTGAATTTCTTCCAACTAGCCTCTGAGTATAAATAGTCTTTGATACTTTACTCCCCCTATGGTTCCTGCCTGCCTCCACCAGTAAACCAATTTGGGGGTAGGTTTTGGAGCCATTACTTTTAACCATATCTGGAAATAACTTTGGTCATCATGTAGGAGCAGGAGTGGTGGATAGTGTTAAAAAATCTACAAATTTGACTTCTATAATGGATAGGTGTTTCATTCTAGCATCTTGTACTGTTATTTTCCTTTTTTGCCTGTCTCCTAACACCAACAGCCTGACAACCACACCTGATCTTCTGCCTTTTCTTTTTAATTATTCCAAACTTTAGGACTAACAAAACAACTTCTTGTGCTCTTCTCTTTCTTATCACATTGGTAATTATCCAGGATGAAGCTTAATTGTTGGAATGTGCTGGGCTTCACACACTGTCTTGCTATCACTGTCGTATGAATCAGTAGAAAACTTCAGTCTTCTCAGCTTAATATAGAGTTCCCTTTTAATATTTCAAGAATACTTAAATGAGCTACTCAGTCTTTTGTGGTTAAGGATTTTTTTCCCCTAGGGATCTGTGGATCTGTGTGTGTGTGTATGGGTGAGAAGTTATGGACCATTCCAAAAGCAATCCCCATTATCAGAATATTCTAGAAGAGTCACTTCATTCACTATAAGATGAAACTATAACTGTAGTATTTCATGAGCATCAGGTTAACCCGAAGTAAAACATCCAATGTAGTGGAGTTAAAACATGGTGAACTTGGAGTTAGACCTTGCTGTGTTTGTCTGTATTCCTTGAATCACCGGATCTTAATCTTGTTATGGACTATGCCTTGACAGGGAGTGAATGACCCTGGGCAAGTTTTCTAGCTATTTGTACTACACCAAAATTAAGGAAAGATGAGAATCTGTCAGAGTAAGATTAAATGAAGTAAGTCTGTATGTCAGATACTAGCTAGATCTTAGGGACTATAGAGATGTATGAAATATTGTCCCTTTCCTAAACAAGAGGAAAAGCTTTGGACCCTCGTATTTAGGACTCCTGTTCTTCATTTCTTAAGCTGATGACTCTTGCTATGTTAAGAGACCTTTCTATTAATACTTCTGTTCCCATCACCGTCAGGAGAGACAAGCAGGAAATCTGAGGAAATGACATGACGTTGATGCTTTTGTCCTTTTAAGAATGTCCAGGAAGGTCTCTTCAAAAATGTGAGCTAATAGAGTCAGTAGAAGGATGGGATTCCTTAATAAACTTTGAAAAAATAAATTTATTAAAGTCAGATGCTTTTAAGAATTTTTTTTGCAGAATCTGATTGCTAGTGAAGAATATAATTTTTATATGAAAAATAAAATAAAATACATATATTTTATTTTTAAAAAACCTTTTTATTTAGTTTTGGAGTATAGCTGCTTAGCAATGTTGTGACAGTTTCAGGTGAACGAGGAAGGGACTCGGCCATATATATACATGTGCCCATTTTCCCCCTAACTCCCGTCTTGTCCAGGCTGTCACATGACATCAAACAGAGCTCCATGTGCTGTTCAATAGGTCCTTTTAAATATAGCAGGGTAAAATACACATTTTAAAAGTAAGACTAACAGTATAACAAAATGTTAATAATGGTTTTGTGTGGCAGAGTAATAGGCTTTCTTTTGTTGATATTATTCTTGTATGTGATAATTAAATTTTCTACAGTTATTTTCCCCCTACAGTATTCATCACGTTTTAGTTTCTGTTTTAAATGAAGGAAAAGCATTCATTCATTAAATTTTATTTGGCCTCTACTGTATACCAGACATTGTTTTAGGAGCTGGACACTTTTCTAGACACTGTCTTTCATAGTTTCACAGTTTTGCCTCTGAAAATAAAGCAGGTTTCTGGGGGATTATGGAAATAGGCCACTTCTTCCATGGGCCTTTTTTTTTTTTTTTTAAATAAATGTCAAGGTCAGATAAAAAGGCAAGTTGGAGAAGAGAGTAATTGACACTTTTTTATTGCTTTGCTTTGTTTTCTGCTTCTTGGCCCCATTTCTGCTGAGAGAATAAAGAGAAAAAATAACTTTTCATATACATAAATATAAACTTATATGCTATATTGTATTTATTATATACATTTAGTATGTTATCTGTTAGGAATATCAACTGCAGTATGTGTCAGTGAAATGATACAAGGTGGAGTTTTCCTGTAATATATTTGTTAAAAAAAAAATAAAGACAGAGTAGGAACATGTGAAACAAGATTAGCAAAATATTTAAAGCTAAGTAATGGATATATGGATTTATTGTTTTGTTCTATTTTGTATGCATTCACAATTTCTCATAAGAAAAAGTTTTAATAAGAGGAAAGAAAGTGCCATAAGTTGCGGCTCACCCAGGTGTCCTTGTGGAGCACCGCTTTTCAGTGACCACCATGACTTTCCCTTTGTTAGATGTGCTTTCCTCATCAGCAAGTAGTCCTGTTCCTGACCCCGCTCCCGGCCCCACTCCAGCGCCAGCCCCAGCGGCTCCTCAGCCTTCAAAACTGCCCAAGCCATTTGGGTATGGCTATCCGACTCTTCAGCCTGGCTATCAGAACGCCACAGCACCGCTTAATTCTGGAGGACCACCCAGTAGCCCAGTGTATTCTGGATTCCAACAGTATGCTCAAGTATGTATTTAGTCATATAAAGTTATACAAAAATTGTGAAACTTAGCAATTCTGACCATTCCCTGGTGATTCAAATGTATCGTAGGTGCTAATGTAGATAAGCCTAGATTAAACATGCACAGACTTTGATTCCGGTTTGTGTGTGTATGTTTATGTGTGTGTGTACTTGTACTTTTATTTTTCAGAGTCTCTAATGTGCAGATATTTATTTTATGATCAGGAAATTAAATGTTATTTTGAAGTTTGTATTACTAAGCTGGCTTTCTCAAAAACTGACATGGTATAAATGTAGTTTGGGATTTTGGTTTCAGCGCTTAACTTGAAGAAGTCTCTGACATGTAGCTAAAATTGGTAAAAGCCTCAACAAATGCTCATTAATACATTTGTTCATTATTTTTGACTTGACCTTTCATGGAGTTACCTCTTAAATACCATAGCAATTTATTAAAAGGACAATGAGTATTTTGCATTTATACTTGTTGAGAAAAAGTAAAATATAAGGAAACAGTTTAAATGAAAAAGCATTCTACTTACAATAAAAAACTGCTCTGAGTAGGCTCACTTTACAGAGATTTCATCTTATGGTGAACTGATGAAAATTAGAGAAGAAAAAAAAAACATTTCTTCCTGGAATTTAACTTTAGAAGTGAAGCACAGAAGGAAGAAGGAAACTGGGGAAGGCGCTGGAGAAATACGGCTGGTTAGTTCAGGCTGCCCTGCCTTCCGTTGTGTTAGGTTTTCTTTGGGGCTGTGTTGGTCCAAATGGAACTCCACTATTTCAGGATAAGTGAGCAATAATGACTTAAGCAGATAGCTAGGTTGTGCTTTAAATTCTTCTCTGTCTACTTAAAAAAAGATTATAGATTTTAATCTAATATTAACATTAACAAGCTAATTTTAACAGAAGCCATTTATTTTTCAAGTCCTTGTTAGAATAGGAATATTTTACTTTAAATAGCTTTCTGTAGTAAAATTGAAAAGTGAAAGTGAAAGTCGCTCAGTCATGTCCGACTCTTTGCGACCCCATGGTCTATACAGTCCATGGGATTCTCCAGGCCAGAATACTGGAGTGGGTGGCCTTTCCCTTCTCCAGGGGATCTTCCAAACCCAGGGATCGAACCCAGGTCTCCTGCATTGCAGGCGGTTTCTTTACCAGCTGAGCCACAAGGAGTAAAATTGAAATGACTCTAAGTATTGTATCTAGTATAACCCAGTGGGAGGGCCCTGAAATCTTAAGGGTTTTCTTGGTATTCATTTATTTGAGATGACCTTTACTAAGTAGTGGGAAACCCCAGTGGTTGCCCTTTGAGGAAGAAAAAAAGCTTAAAATTAGTTTTTCAGAGTTGAAAAACAGAAAAAGTTGATGTTTTAAAAAGAAGGGAATTCCCTCAGTCCAGTGTTTAAGACTTGGTGCTTTCACTGCCTTGGACTCATGTTCACTTTCACTGGTTGGGAAACTAAGATCCCACAAGCCATATAGTATGGCCAAAAAAAAAAAAAACCCTAAAAATTAAAAAATAAATAATTTTAAAAGAAAAATTAGACAAATATTTTAGGGCTTCCCTGGTGGTTCAGTGGTTAGGAATCTCCCTTGCAATGCAAGGGTCACCAGTTCAGTCCCTTGTCCAGGAAGATCCCGTATGCCAAGCAGCAGCTAAGCCCGTACGCTGCAGCTACTGAACCTGGGCACTGAGAGCCTGTGCTCCAAACAGGAGACGCCCCCACAGCGAGAGGCCCCTGTGCCACGACTGCAGAGTAGCCTGCTCACCACAGCTAGAGAAAGCCCGTGTGCAACAGCAGAGACCCACCACAGCCAAAAAAAATGTTTAAATCTTTAAAAAAATATATTTTAGTGAATATGGAAAAAAAAACAGATACAGAAACTGTATGGCTTTTTTTTTTTTAATTAAAAAGCGGTGCATGATCAGTTGTAGGAAAATGTAGATGAGCAGAAAAGAAGAAAATATCAGCCAGTATTTCCACCATCAAGATATAAACAGTAACACTTGGAGCTTGTCCTTACAGGTTTCTTGCTATATGCATCTACGAGAGAAAGCCTAAAAAAAAGAGCTGGGCATCTAAATGACTTATTTACACAAACAAGTTGATAAATATGAGCATTGTTTTACATTTTTTAAAAAATCCTTGAACAGCATGAGAGGGAACCTTTCCATATTATTTCATACCTTTCATCTAATAGCTACGTAATGTTTTATAATCGCCCAGCCTACTGCTATTGGTCATAACTGAGCATCAGAATCAACATGTACAAGTGTGCACAAACCTTTGTGCATTTGTCTCATTATTAACTTAGATGAAATTTCTTCAGGTAAAATTAGTCAATCACAGGTGCTCATACCAGACTTTAGAATTTCTCTCTGCTTATTCATTCAGTGAAAACTGAGTTTCTACTATGTGACAGCCCTACTCTAGGCACTGAGGCTACACGAGGAAGCCAAGTGCCCAAAACAGAGTTCCCTCTCTCAAGAAACTTGGTGGGAAGGCCAGATCAATAGGACAATAAGTAAATCCACAAATTAACAAGCTGATTTCAAACAATTACAAATGCTGTGAAACAAGATGAGTTGAAAAAATTGCAGGGCTTGGGTATGTAGAGTAAACAGGAAAGCCCTCATTGTAGAAGTTTTGTTTAGTTAATATTTGAATGACAGGAGAAGTCAGACAAGGATAAATATGGGGGTAGAGAATTTGGGGCCGAGGAAACATATATACAGAAACGTAAGGCAGAGGCAACTTTAATGTGTTTCAGAACTGAAGTCCCTGTGTGGCTATAGCCCAGCTGGCAAAGGGAAGAGTAATAGTAATGTAATCAGAGAGTTTGGGAAAGACCATAGTCAGAAACTTGAGTTTTACACCAAGTGCAAAGGAAAGACATAGGAGGTTTTATGGAATGGAATGAAATCTGGTTTATGTATTTAGAGAATCACTTGGCTACTAAGTGAAGAACGGATTAGGGATGGGAGTATTTGAAAAGATAAAAATGGAAACAGGGAGACAGATGGAAGCTTTGCATCATCCCCGAAATAGATGATTATGCTTTGTTCTAAGGTGGTATTGGCAGAGGTAGTGAAAAGTGGATGGATAAGGGATATCTTTTGACTTACTGATGAATTGGATGTGGTGGGTGAGAGAAAGGAAGCATTAAGGATAACTCTTAGGTTTTTGGCAGGACAGCTGGATAGAGGGTAGTGTATTTATTTAGATGGAAGACAGAGGATTAGTTCTGGGAATGGGAATCAAGTTGGCCATATTAATTTAAAATGCCCAATAGACATCCAAGTGGAGATGTCTAGCAGACGGTAGTTTTTGGTACTTAGATATGAAGAAATAATGTACCAATTTATATTCCTAGCAAAAGTTTCTATGACTGCCCACTCTTCAGTATGCCAAGAATTATTTTTTTATAAGCACAAATGTTTTACTATTTTCATAATTATTAGTTATTTGTGTTTCTTTACTGAAATCCTTGTTCATATTCTTTCACCATTCTGTTCAGGTCCTTCTGGTTTGTAAAAGCTGTCTGTAATAAGTACATTAACCTTTTTTTTATCTAATTTATATTATAGTTTCCCCCCCCAACTTGACATTTGTTTTCAGTTTTTATGTTTTTTTAATACATTAGAGAAATGTTTATATAGTCATAATTTCTTTTGTTTTTGCCTTTGTTTCCTTTAAAAGTCTTTTCAATCTTAAGATTAGGAAAAATTCCCTCTGTATTTTTTTAGTTCTTTGCTGACTTGACTTTTGCATCTATTAAGGTTTTATTTTGGAATATAAATATAAATCTCATTCCCTCTCCAAAATAGTTCTAATTTAACTGAAATTAAATAATCTATTCTTTCTCATTGATTAAATATTCCACCCTTATTTTCTATCCTAAATTCTTAAATTTAAATTCTAAATTGTTATCCTAAATTTGGGTCTGTTTGGGGTTTTCTGTTATACACTGGAAACTCAGAGAATCCCTTTTATTATGCAGTGTTTTTTTTTCCTTTTGCTTAGTTTCAGCAGCTTCAATTACTATCAACAATTTGCTCTACTTGTTTTACCTATCCCCAACATGCACGTGTGTACGTATGTACACACACACACACACACACACACACACACACCCTTTTCTTGCTGAGGGTGTTAAAGCTAACCCTGGGCAGGGCAAAGCAGGGAGATGAAAAAGATAATTTCTTGCAAACCGTAATACCAGTGTTAGAGCCAATAAAATTAACAATAATTTCTGAATGTCGTTTAAAATTCAGTTGGTATTCAGAGTTGCCTGGTAGTTTCCAGGTTGCAATTCTGTAGTTGGTTTGTTCAAATCAAGACTCACTAATTAAACAAGACTCACTAATTGTATTAGCATATTTCTCTTAATTCTCTTATTAACTCTAACACAAAACTCTGCCCCTATTTTTTGTGCCTTTGATCTTTTGAAAAAAACTATAGACTGTCCCACATTCTGAATTTGACTGATGGCTTCTTGTGGTATCATTTGACTTATTCCTCTGTTCCATTTTCTGTGGACTAGAAATTAGATCCAATGGCTTGATTAAATTCAGTATATTACTTCATTTATGTATTTCGTAAGCCAAAATATATATTTTGGTTCTATGTACAACATAATAATACCTGGTTGTCTCACTTTAGTGGTGCTAAGATAGATTAGTGGGTTCATTTGGTGACAGCCTGATCTTTTCATTATGAAGTTCCTCATTAAGCTTTCACTCATCTCTTGGTATCTGTTTATCATCTATTCCAGATGACCACTACATGTATCATTTATTCCCATATGGGTTGTACAATAGTGATTTTCTTGACTTTATCATTCTGTACTGATTAGCTGGAATTCCTCAGTATGTTCATATAATGGAATGTTTGATAACTATATAAAAGAATGTGGAGAATCTCTATATACAGATGTAGTTATTGCTAGCACTCCTTTTTAAGTGAAAAGGTCACATTTAGAGCAGTGTATATATATATATATTAGTTTATATTGTATTATTAAGTAGAGACAATGGAAGATAAGACCAAAAGCTAATAGTTGGCTTAGGGAGAGGGATCAAGAGTGAAACAAGATATTTCTGAATTATTATAAAGTTTTGACATTAAAACTACATAAATTTTATTCAAAAAAACATAAAATGAATAAAAGATAGAAAGCAATCCTTGAAAATTAAAATCAAACAAAAAGAAGTGAACCAGTTATCAAGTTGAATACATGCGGATATAGAAAAAAGTATTGTTTTAACAAATCTTAAAAATCAGTATTTTGTATGTTCTGAATGGAAAATAATCTAAGGACAAAAGAACTACAAAGAAATATTTAAATAACCTTACACTTACAATAATATTAGTGTTATATTGGAACTATCTTAGGATATTGTAGGATGAAACAAATAAGTAAGGCTGTTACCGGAGCTTCCCAGGTGGCTCAATGATAAAGAATCCACCTGTCGACACAGAAGATGGAGTTCAATCCCTGGGTTGGGAATTTCCTGTGAAGGAGGAAATGGCAACTCATTCCAGTATTCTTGTCTGGAATATTCCAAGACAGAGGAGCCTGGCAGGCTGCTGTCCATGGAGATGCGAAGAGTTGGACTTGACTGAGCACATATGCATAAGGCTGTTACCATTAGAATTCAAGATTTTCAGCAAAAGAGTGATATAGGCATAAAATCAAAAAAGTTAAAATGCCATTACCTAAATTTGAATTGAAAATGTCAGCGTGAACTCATTATTTTTTTTTTCTTCTTCTTTGATTTCTGTCTCTGTTGTAGAAGTCTGAAAGTAATAACAGCACAATAACAATGTTATCTAAATTATGGTCTCTAGATACCATCCCAATTTAAAAGGAACCAAGAATCTTTTTTTGATAAACGGCTAATTTCAGTTCTGAAGGAGGAGTGATACGGAATGTCGTGTCAGAAAACAAAGAAACTAACAGAGTCAAGGGTTCATATCAAAAGGACACTGGAATCAGCTGTAAGGGGCTGTCACTGGCAAAATATTGGGTAGTGTGGGCATCAAAGTGAATAGTAACTACAATTCATTAAGTCACTTTGAGTTAATAAGAGCCATGACTTCATAATAATTTAAGAATATAAAAGGAAACAAAAGCTAAGCAAGCAGAACTCATAGAACATCATTGTCATTCCTATGGCAGGAACATATTCTGTAAATTGAAAAACTTTAAGCATTTATCCTGCCTTTCCAGTATGAAAGATATTCAGGGAAACCAAATTCTTGATGTTGAAAAGCATTGTCGAAATTTTGTTGTTTAGTCTAACCATTCACATAAGGTTTAAATTTTTTCAGTGTTTTCGCTTTGAGTTTTTTTAAGAGTGCTTTAAACTGAGCTGCCCTATTAGGTTTTTCTACTGTTACAGAGCTAGATTCAAACTTTATCTTCTTGCTTTCCTGTATGTTAATTTCCTGTACATAGTCTAATAAATTGTATTCGTGTTTGATACATTGTTCTTTTGTTTCGTTTCAAATTGCTCTTTCAGCAGTATCCTGGTATGAACCAGCTGTCCTCCAGTCTGGGAGGATTGAGTCTTCAGAGTTCTTCACAGCCAGAAAGCTTGAGACCCATCAATCTTACTCAGGAGAGGAATATTTTACCCATGACTCCTGTTTGGGCTCCTGTACCCAACTTGAATTTAGACCTCAAAAAATTAAACTGTAGCCCAGAGTAAGTATTTATAATCTTTAGTAAGTAAAACCTTGTCAAAAACATTGCATGACTTTGAAACATAGTAAATATACTATGGTATTAATTTCCTTGATTGGAAGTTTTGTTAATGTGAACGAATGCTTGTAATTTAGTTTGTGTAGAAATTCTGGATGTAAAATTTAGTTTAAGTCATTGGCTCCTGTCCTCTTTGTTGCTATCGAGTCTCATTCCTTGTCTCATTCCCTATTATCTAATGCTAGGAAAAGTTTTTTCTATTTTAGTGAAGGGTTTTAGAAACCCAAATCTAACTATATTTTTCTTAAATTTCTTTCTCCTCACTTTTCACCAGTAGTAACTTCTGATGCCTTTTAAATTAGGTGAAATCTTAATTTAATGCAATTCAATCTCTGCTTGAAAAGGATAGAGATTAGATAAGTAGTTTTTTTCTAAATTTTCTTTTCCCACTTAGTGTTGAATGAGAAGACCCTTGCCCCAACGTGTATTTATCCATTTATTTAGCCTGAATATTGATCTGGATTTTCTTTATTGAGCATTTCCTCACCTCACAGAGAAGTTTAGCTGGCAGCCTCCATCTGATGGCCACAGGCCACTGGTGTATGCTGAGCTGTCACTTCACAGTGCCTGCAAACCGAAAGTTCTCTGTTACTGCCTGCTCTCTGTTTTTCTGTTTCCTAAGTGTAGAATGTTTCTCTGTACCCAGACGTCTTCCTGCTTCTGGAATCTCCTCATAAACTCTGATTCACAGACAACACTGTCTTCCTTGCATTAGAATTAGTGTTCTTTAGAGGCAACATATGTATATGTATTTTTAAGGCAGTAGTTTTCCAGCTTAAAAAAAAAAGCTAACAAGTTCCTCTGTTAACCAAAGTCAGGAAACAGAAAATGGGGGTGCTTTGAGGGGTCCACCTCTTCTACCACACCCTACACTAGCCCTCAATCACTGTCTAAGGCAGTGCCAAAATCATTTCTATAAAAATGTATAATCATTGATTCCAGATTGAAAGTAGATGCCCAAACTACATGTAAGTTGCTATCGGGTCAATAAGTATGTGAATTATGGCCTTGTACTATGAATGGTTAGACACCCCCCCCCCAAGTAGGTAAATATGGTATATGTTTATGTGTAAGAGATCACATAGATAGGGAATAGTTCTCTGTTTCTACTCAATTATGTGCAAAATACATAAAATACCTCTTACCTAAATAGCAGAGCAGAGTAGTAGGCTTTAGAGCGTAGATTTAGAGTTTGACAGACCTAGGTACTTATCATGATTCCACTGATAAGTAGCCATGAAGCTGTGCCAATTACTCAATGTCTCAAATCTGTGTTGTCAACTGTAAAACAGAAATAGTAATTGTGTCTGCATATTAAGATTAGTCATTCAGTATTTCAGTCAGTTCAGTTGAGTTGCTAGGTCGTGTCCAACTCTTTGCGACCCCCAGGACTGCAGCATGACAGGCTTCCCTGTCCATCACCAACTCCTGGAGCTTGCTCAAACTCAATGTCCACTGTGTCAGTGATGCCATCCAACCATCTCACCCTCTGTCGTTCCCTTCTCCCGCCTTCAATCTTTCACAGCATCACGATCTTTTCAAATGAGTCAGTTCTTCGCATCAGGTGGCTAAAGTAGTGGAGTTTTAGCTTTAGCATCAGTCCTTCCAGTGAATATTCAGGAGGATTTCCTCTAGGATGGACTGGTTGGATCTCCTTGCAGTCCAAGGGACTCTCAGGAGTCTTCTCCAACACCACAGTTCAAAAGCATCAATTCTTCAGCGCTCAGCTTTCTTTGTAGTCCAACTCTCACATCCATACATGACCACTGGAATTGAATGCTTTCTGAATTAGGTGTCAGACACTGTTTCTAGGTGCTGGGAATGAAGCAGTAAACCAAACAAAGTTCTCAGTCTCATGTAACCTGTATCCTGTTAGGGAAGATGCACTGTGAGTAATCAAAGCAATGAATAACTATGAAGTAGGGAGTAGTAAGGATTGAGGTTGATTATTTTCAATTGAGGAGTCAGGATAGGTTTTCCCAAGGAGTTAACATTTGAATAGAGATCTGAATGAAATGAGAGAGCAAAATGTGACTCTGGAAAGAGGGTGCCAAGCTGCATGAACAGCAGATGCAGTGGTCCTGAAGCAGAAGGCAACCTGGTGTGTTCAGGGAGTTCACTAGTGTGGAGCCAGCCCGTGTCTGGATTATCTCTGCATGCTGTCAGCCAGGCTGCTTAGACGTCCCGGCACCGCCTCCGGCACCTCTGCCTGTGTGTCTGGCTGCTTCTATGTCGGTTCTGTGTCTGTCGCTCTTGGGTTGTGAGCACTTGGTCTGTGAGAGGAATGGTGCTAGGGCGACACAACGAACCAAAGGTTGCTGATGGAGAAGATGAAGTACACAACCAAAGCAGATCAGACTAACTGATGCCCTGGAAGCATTCGTAGGCCTCAGAGCACAGAGGAAGAAGCCTTTCCTTCTGACTTGTGATCAGGGGTGAGGGTGGTTTCACAGGAAGCTAGAACTTTGATGAGTCTCATAGAAAAAGGAGGAGTTCAGGAGTTCAGTAGGTAAAGAATGCACAGTTGAGCAAAAACAGCATTCTTAAGATGGAAAGGTACCGTTTCACTCATGTTTTATGCTCCCTCCTGTTCATGCCCTGATAGTCGTACTAGAGTTTCTGTGTTTTCCTAAGTGTGTTGTACTTTTTCACCATGAAAATGTTGAGTCCTTAATTTGGATCTTTTGACATATAAATTGCATATGTACCTGTTAAATCATCAGGACCCTCATAGTTATAGTTATGTAGTATGTCCAGTGATTTTCACATATCCTCTTAAATGTCTGGCTGTCTATAACTGTCCACATCAGTATTAATATTTTTCCTGATAGCTGACATAGTCCATGTTGTTTCTGTCTTTACAGCTCATTTCGGTGTACTTTAACAAATATTCCACAGACACAGGCGTTACTGAATAAAGCTAAGCTTCCTTTAGGATTGTTGTTACATCCCTTCAGAGACCTAACGGTAAGGTAACATATTTTAAGATATTTGTGGGTATTGACCTCTGTACTTACGTGCAAGATGTTTAGATTGTAGATTTTCTCAGAACTTTTTTCATTTTGTTTTATTGAAGGTAGAATTAATTATTTCTGTCAGTTTTGATACAACAGACGTTTTCTGTCACCTGCTGACAGGAGCAAAAACGTAAAGGCAGATAATTGCAGTGCAGGATAACTAATACCTGTAACTAATCAGAATCTATGAAGTAGTTAGGTAATGAATACAGTACTGGAAGGGGTTTCCTCTGGGTACAGTAGCAGATGTTTTCTACAAGCAATGAGATCTGAGCTGGATTTGGAAAGATTGGTAGTTTTAGCGGTACTGTCAAACGGCCACAGGTGACAGATAAACATTATGAGTTCTTTTTTAAACATAAAGGAAACACCACTAATGATGCACAGTTACGGAGGAAAACCATATGATTGTTCCCAGCTGTATTAATCAGATAACCTTTGTAATAATAAAGTCTAAATTCTTCAAGCCTATTGAATTAAAGCATTATTTTTTAACATTTCCATAGTCTATTTGATTTAATACCTACCATGCTGGATTTTTATACATATTTCTGGTATTTCATGCAATATATTATATTTAAACTAAAATTTCTAAACTTCAGAAAAAACATTTAATCAGATACATTTTATTTATACTTTATAAGTTGTATTTCACCCTCATACTTCTTTATAACTGTGGTTTTTTTATCCTTTCATTGCTGTTGAGTTTCTTTTGCTCTCATTCAACCAAAAAACATTTTTTGATCACCTGTCATGCTGAGTGCTGAGGATACAAAGGTCATTAAGCTTCCTTGTGGAGTTTTCTTTCCTCAAGTGAATAGAAAATAAAATAATTATAATAGGTGATAATACCTTTATTATATTCATTCAGTAAGTACTATTTGACCACCTGTAATAAAATTGCAACCTTTATCTCTAAACCACAATGGGTAGCTTCCCATATACATAGGTGAAAATTTTTGTCTGAATATGTATTCCATATATGATAGCTTCCAGAAGTGTATACACTAAATTGGCAGCAGTGACTTCTTGGGAATGTAGAATTCTGGGTAATTTTTAATTTCCTCATTTTCAGTTAAATATATTTCCTGACTTTTTCACAAATAACATGTAGTTACTTATGTGTAAAGTTCCTGTCCCACACTAAGCCTTGAGAGATGCTCTGTCTTTAAGGCACATTGTCCTTGGTTTCTGGTGGCCGTGGTCCCCTCCCAGGCTGTGTGGTTGCCTGACAAGCAGGGCCTTGGAGTCTGGTACCAGGCGCAGTCAGGCAGCAGAGACAGAGGCGTCTTATACAGTAAGAGTCTCTCACCCTTGCTTCTTATCAGTTTAGCTGATAAGCTGAGGTTATTATATTATCTTGGCCAACCAGACTTTTCTTGTCTGCCAGTAACTTTCATTACATTTGACTTGGCTTTATTTTAGTGTTATTTTACAGTTTATGACAGAAAGGGGAGAAACTTGGTAGCTGCTTATGTCGATCATTGCACCACTGGAATTTATTAAAATGCTTTAGTTTCAAAACACAAATGTGTTTTCTGTTCTGTATAGGGAGCAGAGCAGTATGTGGTCCATTTTTCCTCTGGGGTGTTTTTTCTGCTACAACATCTTTATTCTCTTTCCTAGCAATTACCAGTGATAACATCCAATACCATTGTGAGGTGCCGATCTTGTCGAACATATATCAACCCTTTTGTATCCTTCATTGATCAACGTAGATGGAAATGCAATTTGTGCTATAGAGTTAATGATGGTGAGTTTCATATTCTTTTAAAATATTTATTTCATTTATTTGTCTGTGCCAGGTCTTAGCTGAGGATGTATAGTTGTGGCATGCGGGATCTTTAGTTAACAGCAGGTGAGCTCTAGATCTCGGACTAGGGATCCAACCTGGGCCACTGGCATTGGGAGCAGAGTCTTAGCCACTGGACCACCAGCAAAGTCCCTCAGATTCTTAAAATAATGTGTCCTATGTTATTTTAGACATTTTGACATTGTTGCTATCATCTGGTCTCTCCTCACTGTTTATAAACTTTCATGACACTTTTAATGAAGAGAATACAGGCTAGGGACACTTCATTTTTGGCTGGCCAAGGGGATAATTGATAATGCGGAGATTGACAGGGAGGAGAGAAGGTAAAAGAATTCATAAATTATTTTTGAAGAAGTGAAGTGAAGGAGTGCAGGTCAGACAGATGAGAGCATGCACACTAATCATGCTTGGCCCTGACAAGTGTAGATTGTCTTCTTTTTGTACATTTGGTTCATTCAACTCAGTGTAGATCTCTGCCTGTATGTGTGGATGCATGCGTGCATATGTATCTGCTGTCCCCTTTAAGGACATTTCTTAGATCCTCTTACTATGATTGCTTTCAAATCTGTGTTTCTGATTTCTTTCCCATGTCATGTGACATAATAAATAGGACACAAGCCTACGAAGCAAAGCTACTTGTGTCCTGGTTTTTTCATCTGATTTCAGAAAATAAGTTTTCTTGTCCTCCTGATTTATTTTTTAAAGAAGGTTTAGGGGATTAGTTTCTACCATTAGATCTTCACAAAGCTATTATAAACTTCTTAAATATTAATGATAGAAGTGTTTATTTCTAGGCATATATATGTATTTAGAAATTGTGCTACTAAATTTGTACTGGATTCCTAATCTTATCTAGTTCCTGAAGAATTTATGTATAATCCCCTTACCCGATCCTATGGAGAGCCTCATAAACGGCCAGAAGTTCAGAATTCAACAGTGGAGTTCATTGCTTCTTCAGATTATATGGTAACTATTCAGTGTTAAAATTAGTCTTGGAGTGCAATTGTATTGGTCATTTGGTAATTTACTCTTAAGTGAATTCTTGTCTAATTTTTTAAATTGTCCATAGTATGATTTCTTTGAAATAGTGCTGAAAGCATGTACTTAACAAATAGATAACTCTTTGTATCTTTGTAAAGATTACTTGGTCTCCTAGAAGAATGCAGTTACATCCCTAAGAAACATTGGTAATGTTTCCTAATAAATACTATCATCTACAATTTGTTGCCATTTTGATTTCATTACTTGCATGGAATGAATATAAGTATTCTTTTTACCGTTTAGTATTTAAGATCCTTCAGTAGAAAATCTCGTATTTTTGTCAAAAATTGCTTTTAAGAACTTGCTTTACACCTAGCACTTAACCCTTGGGATTCAACTGCCATCAGGTGACCCAATGGTACTAATGATTGTCGGGTTTAAAAATATAAATGTTTAAAGTAAAATATGTTTAGGAGTAAGGAAGGGGTTAAAGATTAATATATAATAATAAATATGCTTAATTTTCCTTGGAAAAATATCTCAGCCATCACTCCATCAGGAAGACATTTAGCCTGTCTGTTTAATCATTACTGTGTAATTACTGCCTAATCATGCTTAATCCATGACCAAATTTAAAGGAAAAAAAATCAAAGGAATATCATTTTCATTACCTAAGATCTTATAAAACATTGATTCTATTTGTGTAGATATATGTATATATATTTTACAATCAGTAAATATCCAGTACTAGTTGCGATATAAAAAGAATGACTTATACCTACTGAATATGTTACATTATTTCTATTCCTTTCAGCTCCGTCCACCTCAACCCGCAGTTTACTTGTTTGTTTTAGATGTGTCTCATAATGCAGTAGAAGCTGGATATTTGACAATTTTGTGCCAGGCACTTTTAGAAAATCTAGACAAGTAAGAATTTTTTTTTACTCAGTGTGTGTGTGTGTGTATGTGTATAAGTGTATAAAATGTGAAGCGTGTATATAAGCAATTTATGGGGTTGGGTTTTATTAAGTTTGATTTCATTTATCACTAAAAGAGTACATTGTATCTACTTTAGAATAAAGATCTGCTATGTATATTATTTTGATTTATAACTTTATATCTGAATGTTAAAACCATAATAGTTTTAATACTTAGGAATTTAGATTTTATCTAACTATCCCCCTTGACTTAGAAAGTCTGAGCACTTAGATCCAGAAAACTCAACCTCGCCAGGGTATCAAGGATCTGGATGAGAGAAATCGAGCTGTAATTAATGCCTGAGCAAGAAGTTTTTCATAAGATAGTTTCAGATGTGCTAATGAGAAAATGAGCCAGATAAAGGGAGAGGAAATTGATACTGTGCTGAATATTTCAAGAAGCCAGAAACTGAACTGGCATATTAGTAAGAAGCTTTATGGTGAAAGTGGAAACAAAGTATAGGATAAGGTGATTATACTTGGCTCCAATTCCTGCCTGTCTACCTACCAGTATTAGGCATGAAGGAGACCCTTAACTAAACTCAAAAAGTGGATGTTCCAGATCTCTAGGAAACAAAGTTGTTTGTGCATTTCTTTTTCTACTCCAACACCCATAAGAAATATGGCTAAGGTTGTTAGTAAGAGTAGCTTCCTACTGCAGTGGGTTCTTGATTTGTGTAGAGGTGTAGGGGTGAATATATATATTGAATATATTAATTGAATTGAATTCTATATATATATTCAATATATATTGAAATATATTTCAATATTCAAAATACATGAATATTTTGTCAGAAATACTCAGTGATTCCAAAAGGTTCTTCTCTTCCATCTTCCATTTGAGTTTGAGAATCCTTATTCTGTTGAGTGCTAGCTCTAGATGCTATAATTGTGTATCACTGATTTTGGCCTGTGAATAAACTGATAACATTGAGACATTCAGGATTAAAAACATTCAGAGATATTAAATGATTTGCTTTAAGTTTCTGTTAGTAACTTAGTGATTTCATATTTTTGTTCTTGATTGAAGCATTTGCCCTTTTTAAGTTACAAGTGCTTAATTCAGACATGACTTTAGCAGTGAGTAGCAAAGGAAGACACTCTGCAAAGAAATAGCTGTTAAGACTGAAGAGTTAGCTTGCTGGAAAGGTATTTGATGATATAGCACTAGAAATAGGAGCCAGTGCAATGCAAGAGGCCAGGGTTCAATCCCCAGATCGGGAAGATCCCCTGGAGAAAGAAATGGCAGCCCACTCCAGTATTCTTGCCTGGAGAATTCTATGGACAGAGGAGCCTGGTGAATGTAGTTCATGGGGTTGCAAAGAGTCAGACACAACTGAGACAAACACATTCACTTTTCACTTTCAACAGAGATGAGTGACTATTTGCAAATTAAATGGTCTATGGAAAGCCAAAAAGATAATATTGGGAATGAAAAATAGTTTTTAAAAACATATATGTTTGATTAAAATGGAAATTAAAAGTATCAGGAAAGTAAAAATGTAAAGGTGATAGGATAGCAATAAGATATTACCATGCTTTTGGAAAAGGCTGTGTTTTGGAAAGGGCTGTGTATGTAACTTTGAGAAAGGAAATTCGATGCTGGAGCAGTTCTGGCTCAGCTTTGTATTTTGGCCTAGAGTTACGTAGTCTCCGTTGCGATTGATAACAAATGACTCTAGTAAGCAGTGACCTTAGAAATCTCAAAGAAGTAAAGAAATTAGTCTGTAGAAACAAGATAAATCTTGACCAGTATTGCTAAGCTAAACACCTGCATAACTTCTTGTTTTCTGTTCTCTGAAATGCCTTTTTAAAAAATTGGAATATAATTGCTTTACAGTGTTGTGTTGGTTTCTGCTTTACAATGTCATGAATCAGCCTCTAAGTAGCCTGATTGATCCTTCCTAATAATAATAGTGCTTCTTGCTTTGATGCACACTGTTTTGGCATCCTGTAATATTAAAAAATATCTTTAAAGACATTGCTAAAAAGAAAAAAAATAAAGACATTGCTAAAACAATAAATTATGTAAAAAATTGTAATAAATTACATTTAAAAATTATAGCAGTTAACATGATGGTACTTAGAAATATATTGATACTTTTGTAAGGCAGGGCATCTATTTTATTATTAATAAGGATAGCTTGACAGGCTTTTTTTTGACAGGCTTTTAAATGGTTATTTATTCTTTGCTGTATTATTGACTTGAATACTGACAGAAAATTTGAATACTTGAATACTCACAGAAAAATTTTAAAACAATGATAATAGATTAAATGTCTTGATGTTTCTGAATGTGGTTTTTATTTAAAATTTTACATGTTAAAATCTTTTCTTGAAAAGTACTCCTTTTCTCCTTAAAATACTTAAACAATATACATGATTTTTATAATACTAAAACTGAAAATATGAGCAATTTTTACTTAAAGAGTTTGTTTCAGAGGAAAGTTAGCAAAAAATCTTTGTTTTTTAAGCATATCATTTTAAGTTTTGATTTATTATTTGAAGATAGTTCTGTTATCAGAGGCATGAACTCTATAAACATGTCTGGTTTCATCTGAAAATGAAATGTTTTATACTTACTCTTTTCTGATATGCATTGGTTTAGATAGGGGTAACTGTCCTCTATAAAAAAAAAAACAAACAGTATTTTTTGAAAATAGGATATGTCACTTAGCAGTTTGAATTTAAAATTATAATTTTTATCTTTAGGCTCCCTGGAGATTCACGAACAAGAATAGGATTCGTGACCTTTGATAGCACTATTCATTTCTACAATTTACAAGAAGGATTATCACAGCCTCAAATGTTGATTGTATCTGATATAGATGGTAAGCAGTGAATAAAACAAACCTCTATTAATAAGACAGAATTTTGGAATTAAGGGTCCTTTATTTTACAATACATCTTGTCATAATGCTGTACAGATAATTTAGCTCATTAGATATTTGTTTTAAAATAATTGCTTTCCTGGAAAGTACTTGAATCAAAGTTTTTCACACCTGTGTATGTGTACTTACACATGCTCACACACACACACATGTATGATGTGTGCAGAGGATATATATTAAAGAGCAATATTGTGCATACCCTTTACATGTATGGACTTAAAAAACTAAGATATTTTAAATTCGAAATTCTTTTGAGTTTATTTATATTTTGGTTAAAATATATGTTTTCCCTATAGATGTTTTTCTACCTACTCCGGATAGCTTACTTGTGAATCTATATGAAAGTAAAGAGGTGAGATTGACTTTTTTTTTTAAGTATTAAAGTATTTCTGTTACTTCAACTGATTGTAATGTTCAACATGTGTTTACTTGGTATATATTAACATTGCAGTAAACATTGTAGGTAGCATATCTGTTGACTGCTCACTTTACAGTCCTCCAAAATGTAGTGGCATATACTGTACTCTGGAATATTTTAAAGAAGAATATTGCCCTTCCTTCTCAGTAATTCCACTTTTAATCTTTGTTTTCCCAGCTTATAAAAGACTTATTGAATGCATTACCAAATATGTTCACCAATACAAGAGAAACACACAGTGCCCTGGGTCCTGCTCTCCAGGCTGCCTTTAAATTAATGTCTCCAACAGGTGGCCGTGTGTCTGTATTTCAGACACAGTTACCTTCCTTGGGGGCAGGACTTCTGCAGTCCAGAGAAGATCCTAATCAGAGATCAAGCACAAAGGTATATTAGTTCCTCTCTCATATTCAAGATCATGGTTTCTACCTCTGTTGACTTGTTTAATTATTTGTTAGTCTATTTTTCTAATTCTTTGACAGTTAAAAAAATACAAACCGGTAAGAGAATTTAATTTAAATTACCATTTTGTTGTTGTGTTGCAGTGTGTTCTTTTTAATACTTTGTTTTATGAGTCATAGAAATTTAGAAATTATCTACTCTAACCCTTTTTTTACAGATGAGGAAACAGATTAAACAGTCTTGCCAAAAGTTAAATAAATATTTAATGGTAAAGATGTGACTTAGATTTTCTTACTCTAGTGCTCTTTTCTATTTCACAATTGATAAAACTTACTAAATCTGAGATATAATTTAATCTGCACATATTAATAAATTTTTAATGAAGGTAATACAAATCACTGTATAAAACTTGGAACATAGAAACATATAGATGATCAGCTATCTCATTGTCAAGATAATAGTAGTTAAATAAATACAAGTAAGCGTAATTGGGTATCATACATGTATACTATATTTTTTAATTAACTTTTTTCACTGAAGTGAGCATTCACTCATAGTGAGCATTTTCAGAAGTCCCTAAAAATTCTCCTTAAAAAAGGCTTTTTAGTAAATATGAAAAACATGATTTCGTTAATTGCCTTCTTGCTGTTTAAGAGTGAAATGAGGCTGAATGTTCCTAGGGTTTTACAGTGAAGATTTGGTCAGGGTATTTTAACCCCAATTTCAAATACTTGTTTTTGTTCTGTAAATAAGTTTTGTCTGACCTCAACTTATATATATGAAAATGCCATTGCATCTAGTTATGAGTATGAATTAAACAGTTTTAATAGTGTTGTAAATCTTTAGCCATATATTATTTTTCCCTAAGATAAATTTCTAGAAGTGAAATTATTGGATCAATGAGTATAAACTGTATTTAAAATTATTATTTTATTTTACTTATTGGGATTTCTAATCAACCTGTACTCTTAAGGACTCTGATTACTTTTTTATTCTTTACCAATTTGCTAAAGAATTGCACTGTGTTTTACTTTTGAATAGCACTGTATTTTATTTTTTATGAAATTGTGCTTTTAAATTGCTTTTGAGAAAGAAGCTAATTTCAAAATAAACTGGGGACAAGTATATTTTTTATATTTATATTTTTTATTATATTATTTATATTTATATTTATATTTTTTAACTCATCAACAAGTACAGCTAACATTATCCAGTGCATTGATCCATCGTAATCCATTATGGATTACTGAATAAAACCAAAGTGTTTACTGATTTCTTTGATACAGTTTTGGGTTTTTTGTTCTCATTTAACTTTTAGAAGTATTGTCTATCTGCCTGAGACTCAAGAATTTAAGTGTCTGTTCTAAGCTCACATAATAATCATACACTATAATTGAAACATTTTGTTGTGCAATGTAGTGAAATAATTAAGAACTTGGAGCCTGGCTTTTGCATTCTTAACTCTTCTCTATTGCCACCTCCTCAGCTCAAGTGTCCTCCTACCAACAGGAAAGACTTTGCTTATGCTGTTAGTCTCTCGTGTTATTTTGGAACAGTATACATGTAATAATTGGTAACAGCACTCATTCTGGAGCCAGACTGCTTGGATACTCCAGCATCTACCACTCAGTAACTATGTAATTAGTTGAGTTACGTAGTCATTTGTTTGCCTCAGTTCCCTCATCTGTAAAATGTTGGTAACTCTGTGAAATATATATTATTATGAGGATTAAATAATTTAATTATATGACATCTATGCTGCCCTATATGTGCTTTTATAAATGTTAGTGATTATTCTCATAGGAAATCTATGCCAACTACCTAGACATAAAAAGAAATCCTTAGTTTGATAGGGGAACAGAGGATATTCTCTTCCTTACTGTAACAGATAGAAATATATGCATAATTCAAGGTTTTCTAGCTCTTACTTTATGACCTGTTGACTTAGGTTGTACACCATCTTGGCCCTGCAACTGATTTTTATAAGAAACTCGCTTTAGATTGCTCAGGGCAGCAGACTGCAGTGGATCTGTTCCTTTTAAGTTCACAGTATTCTGATCTCGCTTCTCTAGGTAAGGAGATACCTTTGTATTTATCTGTTTTTACATAAACATTTTTAGCATATAATTAAATGTAAATTCTTTACTAAGAGTTCTCAGTTGTTTGGGGAGAAAGACATGTGAATTAGATAATGTCTATGAAATTACCACTAAACTTAAAAAAAAAAAAACACCCTACCCTATACAAATATAAAATGCTAATCTGGGTTGTTGTTTTTCTTTAAATACAATTCTTTTACCATTCTGCTCAACAGTAAACTTAATATATATTATGTTTTATAAATATTTCTTTCTCAGACTTATATATTATCCTCATTTTTGACCACTGTAGGTTTTTTTTTCATTATAACTTAGATTTCTTCATAATACAGAATCTGCACTGCTGTTGGACAAGTAAAATGTTATCATTTCAGTAGCTAATACTTTTCCTTTTTCTCTCTAAAGCTTGCATGTCCAAGTATTCTGCAGGGTGCATCTATTATTATCCATCTTTCCACTATACTCACAATCCTTCACAAGCAGAAAAGTTACAAAAAGATCTAAAACGGTATCTCACAAGAAAAATTGGATTTGAAGCTGTTATGAGAATAAGGTGTACTAAAGGTATGAAATTATAAAAGTTATGCTTTATATTATATACTTTCTTCAAAATTAATAAGCATTCATATGTTGACAACCTGTGACCACCTTTCATCATAAAAAAGATTTTCTACTTGATCCAACTAGCTGTACTGTTTTAAATATTGTTATTAAATAATCATTGTTCAGTTTTTTTATGTAATTTGAATAAGTGGGCAGAGGTAATGCTTTGCCTTATTAGGAGAAAGTCAAGAGAAAGCCCATATTGGAAGTGATTTCAGATGAATTTGAGGAATAGGGAGGATCTTAAGTGAAAATTGTCTAATTAATGATCTTTACCTTCCTCATCATTCAAACAATCTTCAGTTTCGGTTATCTCTGTTTTATGTGAAAAGTACTGCTCCCCAGTTATCCTTTTGATTCAAAATCAGAGATATTTTTAATTTAAAAAGTAGCTTTAACCTGATATAAGGAGACTAGTGCTACTTCACCTTTGATAACAAGTTTTCTCCTCCCTAGGTCTTTCCATGCACACTTTCCATGGGAATTTCTTTGTCCGTTCCACTGATTTGCTGTCCCTCGCCAACATCAACCCCGATGCTGGGTTTGCGGTGCAGCTCTCCATCGAAGAGGGCCTGACAGATGCCTCCCTAGCCTGCTTCCAGACGGCCCTGTTATACACGTCTAGCAAAGGTAACGGTAGCGGAGGCGACGTGCAGCCTGCCCCGTGGTTCTCGCCTCCTTTCATCTGCCGGGAGACTGGGAGAGTGAACACCAAAGGGAAGTAACGGAATTGGTGTTCATCCAATATACGTTCCGCTCACTCATTTTTGAATCTTCAATGAGTACCTTTTTTGACTTGTGGAAGACTTGGACCCCCAGAATCATATTAGCATAATAACTCAAACTAAATCTGTCTGGGTTATCCTGAGCATCATTTCTTTATCCATAACATGAGAAATTCTCCATGGCACTTAAGGTCTATCTGGTCTGTTTTCTGACATTATACCATGTAACATATAATTTAGAATGAGTACTGCTAAGATTAAAAACCAGAACCTAGTGTTCAGAATATAGTGTATGTTCATAGTCTATGTTCAGGTTTAGAGAATGTTTAATTTTCTTTAAAACATGTTCATTGTAAAACTTCGTTTTTGCCATTTCAAAATCCTGTTGGTAATTTAATACCATTAGATAATAACTTGAATAATATTTTGACCAATTTGCTTTCTTTATTTCTTGGCCTAATGTATTTTGCAATGACATGGATTAATCCTTTGATTAGGTGAGCGGAGAATTAGAGTGCACACTCTTTGCTTGCCAGTGGTCAGTTCACTAGCAGATGTGTATGCAGGAGTGGATGTACAAGCTGCCATCTGTCTCCTGGCAAACATGGGTAAGTAAAAAAGTGAAGCAACTAGTGAAATATATTTTTCTATACTAAAAACTGAAGCCTGGGCATTGTTTTACCCTAGAAATTCCTCATTTAAGAAGTATTTATATTTTACATTTTCATTTACAACAGTGTGAATTGAGCTGTTCTCATTCTTATGAATTCTTTAGTTTAAAAATCATGTCTGGGATTCATAATCATTAATAACTGGCAGCATCTCAAGTGTTTTTCAAATGGTGACTGCCTGAACAAACTGGTACATCCATATGATGGAATACAACTTGGCAATGAAAAGGAATGAACTGTTGATATGTGAACAGATGTGGATGACTCAAAGGCATTATGCTAAGTGAAAGAAGCGAAACTCAAAAGGCTACATACAAATGATTCATTCATTCAACATTCTGCAAAAGTGAAAATTATAAGAATGAAGAATAGTTCACTGATTATCAGGGTTGGTGGAAGGAGGAGGATTTTTACTACAAAGGGGCAGCCACACTCAAGGGAACAACTGAAATGTATTTTTCTAACCTAAAAATGAAATTTCTGTTTGTTTCTTTAAGTATTGCATGTAAATTTTATCTCTTACAGTATTCACTGGCATCTGATGGTTAAAAACTTTTTCATTTTCGTTGCTTTATAGCTGTGGATCGATCAATTTCCTCAAGCCTATCGGATGCAAGAGATGCCTTAGTGAACGCTGTGGTGGATTCATTATCTGCATACGGCTCAACTGTCTCAAATTTACAGCACTCGGGGTTGATAGCACCCAGCTCCCTCAAGTTGTTTCCTCTCTATGTTTTGGCCCTTCTCAAACAGGTAGCTCTCTGTACACTGTTAGATTTTATAAAGTCTTATGAAATTTTCAATGTATAGGTTTCCAAACCTAGTTTTTCTGGTGGGCGGTAGGGAATTAAATACTTGATTAGACAGTTGTAGCTTAGCATTGGAGGAGTTTTAAACAGGAAGAGGTGAATGGAAAATGAAGGTATACAAATCCATGATGACTCTCATGAAACTATGCTCTCACTCTAACATGTGGGAGCGGCGTGAATAATGGTGTGTGTATAGCACACTCTCAGTATGTGCTCCTGGAAAGAGACTCTAAGGACAGAGCCTGCTGTTCATTGGACGTCTTCCCAAGTCTCTGGCACCATAACACGTGTTGTATATACATCATCGCATTTAATCCTTACAGCTCCCTAGAGGTTTTATTTTCTCCTTTTTTCTTATGATGTCAGTCAGTATACCTTTGAGAAGCTAAGTAACTTGCTCACATATCTACCAATTAAATTGTTAGTGTTGAAAACTGAATCCAGGCCTATCTGGTGTGAAGGCTGTGCTTTTCCCATGGCTGATGGTATATATCTGTTTTAATATTTGTCCACCATATTTATGTTTTACTGAAAAATGTGTATTGTTTCTCCATGTAGAAAGCGTTTAGAACCGGCACAAGCACACGCCTGGATGATCGTGTATATGCCATGTGTCAGATAAAGTGTCAGCCACTTGTTCATCTAATGAAAATGATTCATCCCAACCTGTACAGGATAGACAGATTGACAGATGAGGTATGATTTTTTTTTTTATTGTGTTTGAAATTTTTTAATTTAAATTTATTTGGGTGTCTTGAGTCTGCATCTAAGATAGTATTGTATTGTTAACAATTTCTTCCATCTGTTTTTCCCCTGTGACAATAATACATTAAATACAGATGTTAACTATGGATTGATTGGACAACAGGACTATTAGATAGTATCATGGTTATGGCATTTTCAAAAATAATTTCATATGGGAAGTGATTCACTTTGTGGATTTGATTCTTTACTGCAAAGCAGCATTATAGAAGGACATTTCTGTTTGTATTTTGAAGATATTGACAGTTTCTGATGTGATCAGAGTGCAACTTTGACTATATTATTGTAAAACTAATCTGGTATCCAACAGTATTTTTAATATGCCAATATGTAATGTCTTTTTTCCTACTCTTTGGAATCAAAAAGTCCTTTGTAGCAGATATTGCAGTTGTACTTTTAGTATATCCTGAACCCAGAAGGGAAGGGAATGGGCAGATCTTTTTACCTAGTCAAGTTTTTATGTTTTAAATTTGAATACCTTTGAGCATCTTTTAATTTAAATACATTTGAGAGTCTTGATTCTACAGCCAAGGTGGTGTATATTACCAATACAGTTCATCCTGGAGCAGCATGAGGGTTATGAGCACCACCCCTGTGCAATTGAAAGGCCATGTATAACTTCATGGTCAGTCCTCTGTATCCTCTATTCGGTGCCCATGGATTCAACCAACTGCAGATCATGTAGTTCTGTAGTATATATTGAGAAAAACTGCATATAGGTGGACCTACAGAGTTCACACTCATGTTGTTCAAAGGTCACCTGTAGTTTTTACATATTACAAAATTATAAAGTATCATTTTTCAGTATCAGAGCTGGTGGCCGTTAGCTTCCAGCCTGGGATAGTAGTTATGTAAGGTCACTCACATTCTATCTTTTTTCTTTTCAGGGTGCAATACACGTTAATGACAGGGTTGTACCTCAGCCGCCTCTTCAGAAACTGTCCGCAGAGAAACTGACACGAGAAGGTGCTTTCCTCATGGACTGTGGCTCTGTAAGTCCCTTTAGTGACAGAGCTTAACAACTGCAGCTGGCAAAGGAGAAGCATGTAGAGGGTCCAGCTCTGTACCACAGATCGGGCAATGAAAGGTGGCCTGGAAACTCAGGGGCAATAAATTGGAACTGGCACAGGAGATCAATTTATTTAACAGGAGTAAAGAGATAAACTCCTTACTTCAAGGAATTTTTTGTCTAGAATCATAAAATTCTAAGGGACCTCAAGAATTTTTGTAGTTCAACTTGATCTGTTGTCTGAAATGCCATTAATAATTAGGATTTCAGGGGATGTCATTGGACAGGGTGGTGGTGAAGGGTGTCAGAATAGGCAGGGTGGCTTCGTTAATGATACCTTGTGAGTAGGAAGAGAATTCTAATAACCACAAAACGGGGTGGGGAGTGGTAGGGCGCAGGGGACATTGGTTAAAGTACAGAGGCAGTGATTGAAATAATGGAAATAGTGGGTAGGAAATGTAATAATATATCTTGGTTGAAGCATTGGGGGAAAAGTAAGGAAAATGGTAAAATATATTTTATGAGAAGCTTGAAATTTCAGCAGAGAAGATATGAGCCACTCTGGATTCCTAAATGCAGATTCCAAATATGCAGGTTACAGGCCTCCTTTTTTACTTTCGTGTTTATTCCTACTTGATTCGAGCTAGTGTACTTTGCCTCTTTTATGCTTGATGATTTTGAGAAAATGAGCCGTAATGGGGTTCCAATTAGGGAGTTTTACTGTGATTTGTTTTGTTTTTAGATTTTTTACATTTGGATTGGAAAGAGCTGTGACAGTAACTTTATAGAGGATGTGCTTGGGTATCCTGATTTTGCATCAATACCACAGAAAATGGTCAGTGGATTTATACAGCTTTAACTTTTTACGTACTTACTTGTTTAATGTTTTTTTTTTGAGATATAATGCACATAAGAGTCACCATTTTACTAATTTTAAAATGTACAATGCATTTGTTTTTAGTATATTCACAGTGTTTACAACCATTTCCAGTATATAATTTCAGAGCATTTACATCACCTCAAAAAGAAACCTGTATCTCCCAATTCTTCCTGTTTTCCCTGGGCAACCACTAACCTACTTTCTATCTTTGTGGATTTGCCATTTCTAGACAATTCATATATATGGAATCACACAATGCAAGGCCTTTTTGAGTTTGACGACTTCTCACCATGATTTCAACATCCATGTTGTAATGTGTATCAGTAATTCATCCTTTTTTATGACTAAATAACAGTCCATTGTATGAATAGATCACATTTTGTGTATCCAGTCATCTCTTCTTGGACATTTAGGTTATCTCTACTCTGGTGCTATTGTGAAGTGTTTCTGTCAACAATTTGTGTACAAATGTTTGTGTGAACACGTTTTCAGGTTCTCTTGGATCTGTAACTGGAGTAGAATTGCTGGGTCATACGGTAAACTTTTTGAACAACTCCAGACTATTTTCCAACAACTACTCTAAATTATTTTGCTGATAATAAACATAATTTTTTCAGTAAGCCTGTACTGTATGTATGTTGATACCAAAGAAATATGATTCTGAAAGCAGTTCTCTATGCTACTTAATGGAAAAGGCCTACCTTATTCTTGGATATTGTAAATATGTCCTTTCTCCTAAAATTAATATAAGTCAATGTAATTCTTAACCACATTCACTATTTATTTTTTAAAATTTGCCACATTAATCCAGAGTTTATTTCTAAGACTCAGCAAAGAAGAAAAATGAGAAAATGATTTGAACAGGTAATTCATAGGTGGAAGATATAGTAGTGGCCATATGAATCAATGTTCAGCTTCATTTATAATTAAGAAAAGAAAATAAACTATTAATAACAGTATAGTATTTCTTTCATTTATCAGATTTTGCCCCCTGGTAAAAAATTTTTCAATTTGATAATAGGCAATAATGCAGAGGGAATAGGGCAGCAGGCCTATTGATTGGACTGTATACATTTACATAGTCTTTAGGAGAACCATTTGACAATACCTGTTGAAATTAAAAACGCACAGCGTATGACATAGTAAATTATTTACTCCTAAGAATGTATCCTATAGATATACTCATAGAAGTATTCATATGTACACATATACTTAAGAGGATATCGTGCTTATATGCTAAGTCACTTAAGTCATGTCCAGCTCTTTGCGACCTTTGGACTGTAGCCCAAGCTCCTCTGTCCATGGGATTATCCAGGCAAGAATACAGGAGTGCATTGCCGTGCCCTTCTCCAGGGGGATCTTCCCGACCCAGGGACTGAACCCACATCTCCTGTGGCTCTTACATTGCTGGTGGATTCTTTATCACTGAGCCGCCAGGGAAGCCCAAGTAAAATCTACGAATCTATTAAAAAGAATACAATCTGAAAAAGAAAACAATGTGTATAATATCCATTTGTATTTTCAAAAAATGTGTTTCTATATATAATAGTGACTATATTATATATATTTAGAAAATATATGAAAGAATGTACATAAAAATGTTTTTCTTGTACTTTTAAAATATTGATATAAATTTAAATATAATTAACCCAAACTTTTCTGTTTAAATTTTTGTATACTGTGTACTTTGGAAAAAACTCATTGTACACATGGAAGAATACCCTGTTTCTGCATTGCAGGTGGCTTCCTTACCGTCTGAGCTGCCAGGGAAGCCCTCAGATGCACACACACACACATGTAAAAGAGTAGACTCTTTAGGGCTTTTAAAAAACAGTCTTGCGTATGGTTTTTAAAACAGTCACACTGTTCTTTTAAAATTTCTTGCCCTTAAATATTAAGGACAAAGGAAACATAAAATTCTGTAAGAATGTCTGTTATGAGAATACTGTATCATTGTTTATAAGTGAAACTGAAGCTTAATTATAGGCCCCCAACTTGAATATTTCCTTTGGAAGAAACAAAAAGTATAACACAGTATGAGTAACATACTAATTGTGTATGTTTTATTGACTTTTCTGGAAAAACTATAATATTCAGGTAAAATATCAGTGGCATACTTATCATTAAATATGTCTTATTAGTCAGAAAAACAGATTTATCAACAGTGTAATAAAGTTCTTGTGTTTGGTTGCTGCTGTTGGGGCTGGAATCGAGTGCTGGCGTTTGGTGGTAGTCGTGATTATGATTGAGTTCTAATACTGCCTAAGTCTATGAGAAAGAAAATGACTTCCTAATTGCATTTTTTACCAGACACATCTTCCAGAGCTAGACACACTTTCATCAGAGAGAGCCAGATCCTTTATAACTTGGCTTAGAGACAGCAGACCATTAAGCCCAGTTCTTCACGTGGTAAAGTAAGTACTTCTGTAACTTAATTATGAAATTGTCTTATCCTGTCCAATCCATGTGAAATTGTTTGTCTTCAAATCAAATTTTAAGTAATAATATCAAAATACATTGTAGTGGTAGAAGGCTGTTACTTGATTAACATCCCCTATCCTTTTTTGTAAAAGTCCCCATGTATTTTTTTTAATGTATAAGTATTCTTTTTAATAATATGCATTTTTAGATAAATATCCCTTTTTCTTTTTCAGAGATGAGAGTCCTGCCAAAACAGAATTTTTTCAACATTTGATTGAAGACCGGACAGAAGCTGCCTTCTCTTACTATGAATTTTTGCTTCATGTTCAGCAGCAGATTTGTAAGTGAAGTGAAATAAAATTGAATAAGAAGAAAGAGATCTATAACCTAGGTAAAGCATTAATCTGTCAGAGAAGCACATAAGAAATTTGAAATGAAGGCACTTGTTACAAGAGGCAGTGCATAGCGTAGCACCTCGTCTGAGGCTTTGGCAAAAGGTAAAGAGGAAGAAGGAACTTCACAGATTTTCTTCACTCTGAGTTTGATGCTGATGACGCTGTTTCACCAAGTATATGTTGAATTGGTTTCCACACATTTCCAGAGTGCCGCAGTACAGTTCTCTGTTCATTGCAAGCTGGCAAACTTCTGTAGCTATGTGGGAGGATATGCCAATGAAAAGTTAGATAGATTCCTTTTTCTTATAATTAATATAACACTTCTGGACTTGAACTCTGACAGGAGATGCCAAAAGGCAGTCGTACCATGTTTTTTGTTTATATGAATTACTTTTTAACAAGGAATGATTCATATTCATTAAATGAATTCAATATTTTCCCTGTAAAAACAATAGAGTTTCAGTACATGAACTATAGAAAAAATATATATATATAATGTACATAAATGTTACATTTGTAAAGAAAATGTAAAAATGTAACTAAAGAATATGAATTGCTAAAATTGTGTTGCATTGTTGGATGACAACTCTTTTTGTCGCAGTTAGAGAATGAGGTTGACTAATGCATATTATGAATTGAGTCCACAAAAGAAACACAAAACTCTTTGTAATTCTGTTAAATCTTTTATGTGGATTTATTTATGATCAGCCTACTAATTAAAAATATTTTGCTTGACAATATGGCTTGGTATTTCGTGTGTTTATGGTTGGGGAGAATTGGTGGTATTCTTACATCTAGGATGTATTGGATTTACTGCTCAAGGAAATGCAGTGATACTGTATTTCAACCAGTAATATATGTGAATATGTTTTCATTAATTTGTGAACATTACCAAGTACTTATTCTGTTTGTATTTGGAAAACAAACCCTACTTTCAAAATATATATGACTGTTGACTAATCATAAGCTTAATTTGTCTTTCTTGGTTAAATTAGGCTTTTTTTTTTTTCTTACACATTCATAGCAAAATTTTTATAACATGTGACTATCCTAATTAATTGACTTTTAAGATTACCATCTGGAACTTTGAGAGTAATCTGATTCTGATTTTTAAAAATCTCGTTTATTAACATTTATTTACTATAAAAACTGTTAATGATCCATTAGGTTGTAGAATAAAATTTTATTATAAACACTATAAAAGTCCTACTGATGAACTTTGGAAGGGAAAAGGTTCTTGATGTGTGTGATGAGTGGTTTTGCACTTGTTGGATCTCTTTTCTTTGGATAAAAATAAAAGTAGTCTCTTACATTCCCTGCTGGAAATGAGAGGTTAAATGACTCACCCTAAATGACATTACTAATTAGTGACAGAGCTGATAGTAGAAGTCAAATGTTCTACCCATCCGCCACCTACTCCCAGCCCAGCCCACCCCAGCACTGTATGTGTCCCTGCGCCCTGCGGCCTGCAGCAGGAGGGAATCTTACTGAATTAGGAGGAGCTGCAGTGTTCCCAGGGCAGCTATATACTGTAATTGTATAATGCGAAGTATCATGTTTCTAAATATTTTTGTCTTTGGATAGTTTGTTCCTCATTTAATAGGTATTTATTAGCACTTAATACTTGCTAGATATTGGTCTATCTCAAAACACAGAAAACCCTGATTTCACAGTGCTTACACTCCTGAGTGAGTGTGTGGAGGACTGGGGAAAAGACAGCATGTTTGTATGTCAGGTGTGGGAAATGCAAGAAAAATAAGGCAGAAAAAAGTATCAAGAATGCTGGTTTTGACAGTAACTAGGGAAGGCCCTTCTGAAAAGGTGACCATTGAAGAGAGCCATGTGGCTGTCTGGAAGGAGAGGCATCCAGGGGGTGAATCTTTAAGTAAATGTGGAAGTTAGCTTTTGGTCACTCTGGTTTTCCCTATTAAATAATAGAAGCACTCAGAGTTACCAGTTGAGAAAGGGTAAAGGGTGTTAGAATCCCAAGAAATAGTCGCCTAGGAAGAGTAAGAGATGGACTGACCAGTGGCTTGAAGTAGCGTTGTCAGGCAGCATGAACGTAAACCAGTTAGCATGCCTCTTCCTTCTAGCCGGATTTCCTGCCTGGTGGAAAATTGGATTTAAATTAGAGCAGAAGAGCAGGGGAACTGTGTATGCATACAAGGAAGCTACTCTGTCATTCCAGTGGAAGGGATGCACACCGAGCGATAGAGAAGGGCTTAGTAGTCTGAAGGTCCTGTTGAGGTCAGAGAGCTGTCAGAGTGTGGAGACCAGAGGGAATGAACTGGAAAGACAGGAAGTGGCAGTCAGGATATGGGATGCTTGAAATTGAGATTTGGGGAAGTTTAATCTAGATGTCTACAAATGTGTGGAGAGATGCTTACTTGGGGTTTGAGATCAACAAGAGCCACATTGAAAAGCCTTGTTCTCTAAAGGCAGCCTACCTTCAGTTAGAGAATGGAGATTGACATCAGTGGGAACAGTGTGAGGAGGTTGATCTTAATGGGCTGTAGATAGATTATCTATCATCCTCACTGTATCCTATGGGACAAGTCTCTGGCCCTTTGTTTTCTGAGGTGGGGAGTGATGAGAGAAAGAGGCATGCTCACCAGGAGTTCTCTGAACCCCTTTTCAACTAACTGAAACTGTCATTAAAGTGAACAGTTTAGGGGTATCCCAGGTAATGTGAAAATCTGCTAATCTGCTATTAGAGTCATTGTTTAATAGGAACATACAATTTGATTTATAGTTGACGCACTACCCTTAAGGAATATATCCTAGCACAAATCGAGTGCATTGATGGAAAAAGAATTCTATTGTTCGTTTATACATTAATGTATTTTTGTGTGCTAAAAACTATTTGACAGCTGTTTATAGATATGAATCTGTTATAGTCAACCTGTGAGGCTATGAAATGCATATATCATTAATAGCAAAGTGTTAAGAAAACCATGATTTCTTTGTTCAAAGTAACTTGAAGACACTGAAAATACTTTTAAAGGCCAAAAAAGATGAAAATTAATGAGATTGAAAGCAACACTGCAGATATTATTTAGGTGGAATCTCTTAATTACTGAAGACAGTTTAAAACAAAAATAAAGCACTTAATCTTTGGCACATGAAACAAAGATCTCCTGAAAAATAAAAATGATACTTCATGAATCACTCATTTCTTATCTCTAAATTCAGAGATGGGATCTGTGTCAACCAGAAAACTGGGCATCCTCCTCCTCTGCCTTCTTAGGATACCTCCGAGAGGCAGAGAAGTGAGCCGTGATTAGGGGACACAGAGGCTCTTAACCCATTGCCTTCTCATGCATCTTGGGCTGAGCCAAAAATGAAAGCCCTAACTTTAGTTCCCATTAGTTAACAAGGCACAGTTTTGTAGATTTTCATTTCAATTTTGGGGCCAAAAAGCATTGCTTACCAACAACCCACCAAATGAGTTCGCTGAAGATTGCTAAATTTGTAGTCAAGTGAAAATCAGTTTTTATTAGAGATTAATCGACACTTTACTTCTGTTCTCCTAAGAAACCTGGTTCCTGGGCAAGTTTGTAATTTTGCAAAAACTCCCCAAAGTGCACATATACAGATTCTGGGTTGCAACCTCCTCAGAAGCTTCTTGGGTAAAATCTGGAACATGCCCCCACATGTGCAGAGGACAAGGAGAGGCCAAAGAAAGAGGTGGCCGCTCCAGACGGGTGGGTGGCAGGTTTCATAAACAAAGGAATTACACGGCTTGTCTTGGGTGTCCATCGTCATGTATCCTCAAGACCACATTTCTATTTTCAAGGCTAGATCCTTGGAGCAGCTTCTGGCAGTAGGGAAGGCAAGCAGAATGCAGAATCCAAGGATAGGGGAGTTAGTGGGTGTGAGAGTTTCCAGCTTGTGGGTCAATGGCCTGGCAGACAGTTGGCAGAAACTGCCCTGCAGTCAGTGACGGGCCAGCTTTTATGATGGTGTCATCGCCGCTCAGAGGTGCTCATGGCTGTTATGGCTGTTTCTGCTTTTCAGGTATGTAATGTTTTAGCTTATTAGCCAACTCAGTTCAGTTTTGATATCAGCATTATGCTAGTTTTGTTAAATGAATTGGATTAGCTTCCCATCTGTTTTGAGGTTTTGGAATCATTTGTAAAGAAGTTAGCTAAAGTCTAGGTATGTAAGATAGGTATTACTTATTCTGGAACTTTTGGTTGAACTTGCTCAGTAATTTCTGGGCTTGGGGCGTTTTTCCAGGTATATTATTAATCACTGTTACCATCTATGACCGTTGATCTCTTCAGGTTCTCTTTGTTGAGCCAAGTTTAGTTTTTAGTTTTAACTTGATTGATACAAGCAATTATTTGGGGCTAGTTTTTATATCCTTTCTGTTGTGTTTATGTATTCCTTCTTTGTCTTAATCATTCTTGCTTCAGGTTTGTCAGACTTGGTGCCTTTAAAAAAAGAAACAACTTTTGGTTTTATTGACTGACTATTTCTGAGAGAGGTTGCTTTAGAACAAACAGGAAGTTTGATTCGTTTTCTGATTTTACCTTTATCATTTTCTTCCCACTACATCCTATAGGTTTATTTTTGCTGCTGTTTTTATAGCTTCTTAGGTTGTGAGCTTACTTTCAGACTTTCCTGTTTTCTAATGCATTTAAGACTATACATTTTCCTGAATAATGAAGGTTTTCATTGCTGTATAGTTTAAAAATAGCTCTCAACTTCTACTTATTTTCACTTAATCTATGAATATTTATAACTTTGTTATTCAAATTCCAGTGGTAATGATGCTTTATCTTTTCATTAATTTCTAATTTCATAAACAGAGCTTATATGTTTGCAAGTTAAAAAAAAATTTTTTTGAGATTTCCTCTGAGGCCTCAATTATGATCATTACGTTGTGAATCTTCCATATGAGTTTGAAAATAATATGTATTCTTATTGGGCACAAAGTTCTTTGTGATGCTAACTGTTAAAAATGAAAGCCAAAGCCTTGGGCCTGCAGGCAGAATAGGGAAGAGGAATTTTCTTCTCAGGTCACTACTAGAATTCACGCAGTGTGGAGGCCTCCAAGGGGAGGGGATCTAGTCTCAAGGATCTGACAGTCTGCCAGTCCGCGCTGCAAGCCGGTGCTGCTAGCATCTGCAGAGGATGTGGTGAAGTTGCTCCGTTCAGAGGATTTTACAAAACCAGGTGACATAAATACAAAACTTTCTGTGGAAATAAACTTTCCTTCCACCTTGACCAAAGCTAACTCCTTTGCCAGTGGCTGGCAAGCAGTCCCATCAATAGATAATCCAGTATTATTATTGGTCAACTTATCTGTGAAGAACTGAGTTTTCAAATGGCAGTTTGAGGACGTAAGTGAATAATATCTGCAAAGACAGATTGTATGAAAGTCAGTGGATGAAATTTGGGTACTGCCTTCATTAGAAGTTAAAGCATAAAGTGGATGTTCACATCTTCATTCAGCGTGTGACACCAGGCTAAAAGTAGGATGAGGCAACTGAAGCACTTGTCTAGGGCACCAAATACATCACAAAATACAGCCATTGAGACAACATTTTAATGTAATATTTTTAAAAATCAAAATTAATGGGAAAAGTCCACAAACAGAATAGCAAAATGTTAAATAAAGAAAGGATTTGACTCTGCAATTGATTCACCTCACACACTGATCCCAGCTACAGCTATGAGAAGGTCGGTGGTTAAGTGATGTCAGAAGACAGGCTATGTAAGATCAAGGTTATCTTGGGGTCTTGGAGTGGAAAACATGGTGTCATAGTTACACAGTTCTAGACTTGAATTCTTAGTCACTCAGTCATGTCCGACTCTTGGCGACCCTATGGACTGTAGCCCGCCAGGCTTCTCTGCCCATGGGGATTCTCCAGGCAAGCATACGGGAGTGGGTTGCCATGCCCTTCTCCAGGGGATCTTCCCAAACCAGGGATCAAATCCAGGTCTTCTGCATTG